CATATATATATATATATATATATATGCGCATGTGTGTATGTTTGTGTTAAAACTATTATCGAAATTACCAAAGAGAACATGCGTCTTACTCATGAATATGAAAGTGATTTTCTTCAAAGCAGACTGCATTTTTTATTTCTCTTAGGCAAACTCACCATTGTTCTCTGATTATAAAGTTGCACGACAGGTTTATAAACTATTACTTTTGTTAACGTTGTTTATCACTAAACTAGTGTCTATTTTTGTTTTGCACTAATAGCCCTCTTCCTATATTATTTATTATCTTTCTTATATATGTTCTTATTGTTATAAGCAATTGCTAAACACTTTTTTTAATTTTAAATAATTTACATACTATTTCATAATGGCATGTATGCTTAGTTTTTGTTATACCTTTTCTCTACAACCCATCTATCTATCCATTTAATTAATTTACTTAAGATCGCTACAATCGACTGCTACGGAGGCCCTCGTGAGTTAGCACGTCTTAGCCAACGGAGTATTGCTGTGTCTGCCTGGCTAAGCTTAAGTGTGAAGCGGGAGCAAAAGTCATTAGAGTAAGTCTTTCTCTTATTCAAAATGCGTTTTGCCCTGAAGAAGACTGCCAACCTTTTGATTCCGATGAACATTTATTTCTATTTTTCCAATATGTTGTTTTGAATCCTTACTGCCACATAATATTCTGCAAAAATTAGACTTAAGTCAATCCGATATTTCTATAGCTAAAATGGCTTAGAAGAAAACCTTAATACATTTCCTGTTTCGGATAAGCTAACTTTGAAATAATTATTTTAGGCAACTTTCTTGCCCATATGGCGATCTATGCCTCAAGTTAGTTTCTCTCTCATTTGAGAATCATACTTTGGGGGCCTGTTCAGTGAGACGACGGTATGCGTAATATCAAAGGTTTGAATCAGTGTATAACAACGCCTTGAGGAATACAGATATCGTGGGCTTGATAGAATGAAACCAGAGCAATAAGAGGTTCCTACAATGCAAGAGGGAGATTTATAGGATCTGGATGAAGAGGATTGCAAACTAAAAGATCAGACTCTGATAAACAATCTTAGTACTATGGTTGTGAGGAGGCCGGCAGCGAATATGAATGTCTCATTAAATTCGCTCATAAGGGCACATCAGATCTTGGTTTTAATATGTAAGAAATTATGATAGTAAAGAGGTGTTACAAGGATATAGGTTGGGTGAATACACCAGCAAGTAGAGATACCAAAACTGTTTAGTAGACAATTGTTCATTGGATCTACTTCACTTGTCTCTTTAACGAGTTGTAGTGTGGTGCTAAGAATTGCAATGCTCGCTGATGATTCCGGTACAACGTTTCTAAGTGTCTATGATCCAACTCTGGAAATCATCATACATACTATGGACTCCGGACAAAATGTGTTTCTGTAGAGTACCCTGGCAATTAAATTAAGTTGGGAAAACAAGATAAAACAAATTCTGATACCTTTTTTGTCATAGATGTTTAAGAACCTCGTGACTTGAGCCGAAATAATTCTTCATCCCTTGTCAGTTGCAGTTGCCTTTCTACTATTTTCATTCGTTTCGCTTTCATTCCTATGATTAATAGTCTGTACGTTATTAACTTACTTGGCATACTTGAACCCATAATATTAATCAACAGCATTGATAACGCTACCGCTCGGGACCGCGTATTCCAATCGCGCCAGATTTCTATTGACCTATCTACGCTCTGCAACCGCTGGGGTTGGCTACCCACTGCAGTACGTCGTGAGATACAAAATCTAGAGTGGGACAAACCCAATTTGTCCGCATCATCGGTCCATGCTCGTCGCACTGGCGTTAATGTATCTTTTTCTGAATGGAGCTGGTGGCTTTGGCTACATGGTACAAGTCTCCCTGCTTCTCCAACTCTCCTCGATCAATGTCTTAGCTGTCTGATGAGCCGACTCATCAAAGTGGAACAGGTCAGTGTATTTTTCAACTTATTTAAATATGTTGCTTGCACATCTCTTTTTAGCGAGGCCACGGTTTGTTGCTTTGTCGCTTAGGTATTTGATATGGCCCTATTTTCCGTAAATGGTGACCTGACCATACATGCTATATGCTTTCCTGTTTGTAAAGTATTGATTAGTGGGTTGCTGAGTTACTTTATTTTTAATTCGTCAAAAACAATGAAAGACTTTTTATCGACATCATTTTGTCTGCTTTTGCAGTAGTAAACTCCCGAGTGATCTAATTTGTCTATCCTTTTAATTTATGAATTCAAACTTGTGAGGAGTCTTATTGATTACGTCCTGTTCACCTAAATCTTTCATTTTTCTAATATTGGTCATAGTTTATGAATCAGTTCGGAGGAAGGTAGGCATATCCACTTTTGTCTAACTTTATACACCTTTATTTTTCTTTGATATTGTTCTGCCATTTGCTTTTCATGGGCCGTATATTTATTTGTTCTACTAATATCGGGAATTCGTTACCGATACAACCGAGCCAATCTGTCCAATTTTTATCACAAACTTCCACCTCCATTAATTTTAGGCTTCTGATGATCGTTCTCTTCACTATTCCGATCTTTATTCTTTAGTTGTGATGGGAAAATTAATTTTTTTACTATTCCGACAAATGACTTCTTTCTAAACAATTTTATCTTTAGCGTTCCATTCGAACGAATGGCCTTAACATCCAGAAAGGGTAGATGGTCCTCCCCCTACTTTCATTGTGAACTTGATCCTTTCATTTTGGTATATAAACTTTAGAAAATCGTCCATTTTTTCTCTTTCACTTGACCAGAGTGCCAAATAATCGTT